TAAATTGTTAAGAAATCTTATAAAATCTATTATTTATTATTATATAAAAAATTAAAATGTTAAGCTTTTGTAAATGGGTGGTGTTTTCCAAAGCTTCCACTTGAATAAAAATTATTATTAATTATTTTTATTTATAAGAATTATTATAATTTATTGAGAAGAAAAAAAAAACTCTAAACCCATTTTTTAAAATTAGAATTCTTAAACCTCACTAAAATCTCAATTAAACCCATTTTAATTATGATTTTATTTATAAAAAAATAATAAAAAAGAAAGGGGGTATTACCAACGGTGGCGGATTTAAAAGTGGTGGAACCGCCGCCGACGCTCCTACTTCCGGTGATGATAGTTTTTCCGATGCCATCGCCGATCAACATAACATTCTTAGCCTTAATCTCAACATTCTCACTATAAACCCCGGCCTTCACATAAATCACAAACCTCCCTCCGCCCTTCGCGGCGGCGACCGCCTCACTCACCGTCCTAAATCTCCCAGACCCATCCTTCGCCACCACCACGTTAGCATTCGGAGCGCTCGACTGCAACAGCTTCCTTTCTCCCGGCTTAACCCACGTCGGAAACCCTTCATTCATACTCGGCGGCTCAAACCCCTCAGACGAAGCCGGCTTATTCACCGACAACCCATCACTAATCAGCTTCGAAACATTATTAGCCGTTAAAGGGTAGCCGAAAGCCGAAACCCCAAGCTCCTCAAACCCAGTCCGACACGTGTCGAGAGCTGTGAGAGCAGCACTGAGCCAGGTCTGAACATCGATCGGGGAGCAGCGGTCGGCGGTCCGGTTGAGCCGGTGAATGATTTGGTCGTAGAGTTCGACACAGTCGGTCCATGCAGATTTTTCTCGGTCGTTTTGGCACTTTGGGCCGAGAGCGACGGCGTTTTTTTGGGCCAAAACGGCTCGCTCGATGGCCGATTCGACCAGAACTCTAAGGAAGTGGGATTTTGAAGCGATTGGCCGGTTTTTTTTTGTGGTGGTTTTTTTTGCCGTGAGAAAATGCTCACATGGAGCTGGATATGGCGTTTGGCTGCACCAATTTTTCACTTCTTCATCCGAGTAAGCAAAAATGGCCGACCAAAGAACAAGAACAAGAACGAGAACGATAACGCTTTTAATGGCTACCATTTTTTTTTTTATTTCCAGTTAATGGTGGGATGGGATGGGATGTTCCCTTTTTATAGTGAACAAGGTCAGAGGAGAGAGAAATTAGTCTTATGAGAGAGAAACTGACCCTTAAGTTTTTAGTTGCCTTGTTTTTAGTTATCTTGTCATGGTTCTGCCTGTTTGTCGAGTGTATATGTTTTAATCAATAGAGCTGTATATGTTCGGGTTGACCAAAGAAATGACTTCTACTTCTATTAGTATCCTGCGTCATATATTTTAGATTTATTTCACCAAAATCTAAAAAAAAATGTTCCGACAAATTTAAAATATATATTCTAAAATTTATTGAAAATTTTCATAATTTTTATTTTTATTTTATCCTGAATTTTATAACTTCTTGGTTCTTTAAATTTTACTCCTAAAAAAAATGTTATTCATAATATATATACACACACGTACGCTTGTTTATTATAAAAGATGTACATAAATTAATTGTAATTAATTGTAATCGTGTCTGAAATAAAGTGATATCAATGATATGAAATTATATGATTAAAAAATAATTAATAGTTACTATCTAGATAGCTTAATCATGAAAATTTTGAAGTTGATTGTGCTTGTCTTGGCTCAAATTGTACAACTATGCAGACACTCGATCTAGATGAACACGAACCGGAGAGAAAAAATATCGAAAAAATAAATGCATGAAATATATATGATTTAGTTTACTATATATACTTATTTACCATAGTTTTTTTTACCTTTTAAAATATATTATTATTAAACAACTTATAAAATATATATATTCTAATAATGATTATTGTTAAAAAAAACGTATAGAATATATATGTTTTTCTTTTAAGGATTAAGATTAAACAAAAAATTTGAAATTAAAAAATAATTATTGTTATGAAAGTTTAAATGCTAAAAAAAATTTTATTATTTATATTCAAAGTTAATTGGGTTTAATTATTGGCTGCGGTGGCTCTACTTTAACGATATCCACGTGGACGCTTCTGATTTGACAGTCCGATGGGATTTCAAGGAGTGGTTGTAACTTAGACTCTGGTTTTAGACTCTACGAAATTTTGCTTTCAACTTGCTTTATATTTATAATTAATTAATTAATTTACCTCAATTATCAATAATACAATTATTAATATTTAACTATGTTTAAGAAAAATAATTGGCCAATACACTTGTTGACTAAATTATTATGAATTTGTTTTTCACGCCACAATTAACAAATTTAATTAATTAATAAGTATAATTAAAAATAAGCAATTTTTTAAATATTTTTTATTATTTTTAAAATATTTAATATTAATAATTTATATATTCTTAAGTTTTGCGGCTTTAGTGTTGTAATTGAATTAATCTTCGTGTATTGCATGCATGTAAATTGCAGTCTTTATGACGGATGTCAAAAGTCAACGCCAAAGACTTTTTGGCCCAAACAATAAATTTATATATAATTATCAATTATTATTCTACATAATTTAATTTAATTTAATTTAATTTATTGTTTTATAATAATATGATATTAAAAAAAAAAACATTTTAATTTGTTAAGAGGAATATTCAATTATGGGAGAGAGGGAGAAATGGCCTCTCCTTCCCTTTCTTTAGCTTGGGTAGGTGTATTAGATAAATTATAGCAGGGTGGTTCATTAGTACACGAGCGGTGCAACTAAAAAAACCGACGTTTATTCGATTGAATTTTCACAGATTTGGTTTTGAAAATGTATTGATTTTACTCTTTATGTAATTTTGTAATGCTCGGGTGAATGAATCGAGGATATATCTGAATGAGAGTGATCTCGAGAATACGAAACTATAGTTAAAAGTGTTTAAAAGAATTGATAGTTATTACCTATACAAATATGGTATATCTGAATGAGAGTAATCCCGAACTGAAATTGGAAAACCCTAAAAAATCGAACTGGTTTGCGAGTTGGAACTTTTTTAGTCGAGCCAACCCGACCAATTCTATAATAGGGTTCACAACCTAACCCTATCCTTCTTTGAAGATTAAGATACGTTTTAAAATAATTACAAAATGAACAACCCGATAATTTAAATCAACTCCAAAAATAAAGGGTTGGGTTGTGAACCCTGTTCGGTTCACTCGGATAGCCAACTTGACCAACCCGAAATTTTAGGTTGGTCAAAAGAAATTTCCAATTCAATCCAACCTAACCCATGTACACATGTACGAACATTATTTAATTTATTAATTTACATATAATTTTATATTTTATTCCTAATTAAAAAAAAATCTCATAAATCTTATAAATTAGCATAAATGAATCTTTTTCTGTCATTTCCATACAAATTTGCAGGGAATAAATTTGTTTAGATTTTTCTTAATACTATATATTATATGAATAAATTATTAATTTGATTTCTTATCTTTTTTATTCCTTTTGTTAATTAATTTCCTTTATATATTTAATAATCAAACAATTTTTTCCTATAAAAACATTTAATTTGATCTGGTCGTGTCCAATAATTTTTTAATGATAATTAATTTCCAATTTTATTTTATCTATGTAATATTTAAAATAAATAAATAATATTTAAGAAAGTTTATCCATAATCATTAGGAGTTTGACGTAATATTTTCAAAATTATTATATTAATTTAAAATATTTTGTTTTGGATAAGTTCAGGTATATATATATTTTTTAATTTTAAAAAAGTCAACGAAATTATAGCTTTGACTTACTTGCTATACGAAATTGAAACATGATGCAATGAGATTGAATTTTATGCATTAATTGAAAAAAAAATAGTGTAATTAAAAAAATAATTATCGAACACTTTCACACGTAAAACCAAAAACAATTTAAAAAAAAAATTATATGATTGAGATTAATTAATTACATATAAATAATTTCTATAATCGAGTTATTATTATTTTTAATTAGTAAAAAAATTACTTAATTATAATATATGTCGTATTAATAATTAAAATATTTATTAATATTTATTACAAACTTTAAATATTTTTTATTTTTCACAACAGTAATGAAAATAAAAATGAGGCTGGATTAGATTGAGAATCCTAGTTTTAAACAAAAAAATGTTTTAACTAATTAATCTTTTTATTTTTTAAAAATTTATCGGAATCAAAATCGAGAAAAAAGTCTAACAACCTAACCTTTGCAATTTAGGTTAGATGGTTCGGGTTGTTCGGGTCATCGAGTTGTATGAACACCTCTACCAATTATTAAAAATTAAATAAAAAATATTATTAAATCTATAAAAAAACATTAAAAAATATTAAAATTAATGAATTTGAACAACGACAATTAGGTTAACGTAATCGTCAATATGAACATAGCTCAACAACTATAAAAAATGTACTTCTAATTAAGAGATAGCTTGATTCTTTAGTAAAAATTTAAATTTTAAAAAATAAAATAAAATATTAAAGAAGTAGTTAGGCATTATTAATAGATAGCAACAAACTATTCAAGCCTAGTTGATAAAATTAAAGTGGCTATTTATAATGGACCATTTTTTAGAATAATAAAAAAAATTAAATTAAATTAAAATAATGAAAATTACACAATACCAACCATATGGTCTCTTTCTTATTTTTTTAAGCAACTTTATTATAATTCATTTTAGGTCTTATTTTATGCTTTTTAAAGAAATTTTCCTCTTAATTTGTAAATTAAATGAGTTAAAAAAAATAAATTAGCGGATTATCTACTTTCGGGTTTGAATTTTATAAGAATTAGACGTGGCCCAGATGATGTTTAAATAATTACGAAACGACGTAGGAATTGATGGAACGACACTTCATTATAATGCGGTTAGTCAATTCTGATATTTATAAATGGGTGTCGTTTTACGAAAACGAAATATTTTTATTTTTATGCCTTTTATAAAAGGGAGTGTTGTCTTAATCGTCTCGGTTTGAGCATAATTGATTAAATAAATATTTTTTAAAAGGTATAAACGTTAACTCATAATGGATTTAAACGTGTTGAATGAATGTTACTGTCGCTATAGAATTTTCACGTCCCTCTCTCTTAACCTTTGTAACATAATTAATTTTTATCATACGTTTCACGTCAAATTAATTCTTTAAACGATTGACTCAGTAGGCTTCAAGTTCAACCAAATGAAAAAATTAAATTTAAAAGAGATAGATAAATTTAAATATTCATATATTTGACAGAGTGATAAATTTAGATATATCTCTTAAATTAATGATATTTACTTGGAAATATAGTTAGTTAGTCACTTTCGTATGACGCCTGATTTAGGTTACCTACAATTTATTTGATTTATAAAATTAACCTTATTCTACATGATTAATTATTTCCCAAGTATATGCTTTTATATATATGTATGTTATGTATATATATGTGTATATGTGTATATATATATTTATATGTGTGTATAGATATGTATGTATATACATGTACAACTAAACTTTCTATGTGTATATATATATTTATATGTGTGTATAGATATGTATGTATATACATGTACAACTAAACTTTCAAACGTAAAAAAAATTTAAAAAATACATGGAAATTGTTCGTATTTTGTTTCAAAAGTACCTTTAAAACTTAAAAAAATATCCTTACGGTTAGTACATGTTTTAAATTTATCCATGAAATTTTAATAAATATAAAAAAAAAATATCGATCATGAACAAACTATTTGATATAATTAATGTTATTTTTTCTTTTTAAAAAAATATGTTTAGAAAATTCAATCTATTTGCAATAAATATTGAAATTTGATATATAACATTAATTA